GTTTATGAGTCTGTCTTCGGTCTCAGGGTTATGAACGGTTTCGAAAATGTCATAACGTGTTATATTTTTCACATGCTTGATTCTCCCTGAAAGTTTCGTGATGATTGTTGTCTGAAAGTCCTATAGTTTTCTTGATGGCAACAGCTTTTGATATTTTAACTAGCCTAGCTCCGTTTACATTCATGTGATTATTCTCCCAATGCACTTATGTACTTCTGTGTATTCAGTCGCTGACTCAAAAGTATTTTCCCCAACCAATGAGACTAATCATGTGATTTTAGTGGCCAAAGAAGCAATGAGGCCTTTTTGATTCTGAAACAAAATGCTTTGGTAATGCAGAAGTGACGTTATTCTGCTGGAACATTCCCCCAAAAATGTTGGAAGTATAAAACTGCGATTGGTTGTAGAACGTTATTGACGTATCAAGTACATTTTAAAGTGGCTAGAATTCTTGAGGCGTTTATCTGCTGTTATAAACAATAAGATCCCACACTAAAATATGCATTTTAGCACACTATCGACTGTCAAGACATATATGGCCACATTTTCTTCCTAAAAGATTGTGATTCTTAAGATGATAGATGACACCGGAGAACATGTTATCGCCCGCCATTGCTAAGCTAATATTTCGATGAGGCAGAGCTATCAACAAATGACATCCTGCTGAGTTGATGATCCTTTCTTGGCGTTGTTCACATATAATGTCTAGAAATTTCATTTCACTTTTTACGCTATTTTCCAAACTAGTTAGCTTCTGCAGGATAATCACTGATAGAAACATTGCCTCCTCTCGTGCTATCAATTTGTCTTCCGTTGCATGTCCGGCTATCAGTGCCACTCATATGCATATGTGGTTGCTTAAAAGATGTAAAGGTGCTGCTGAATAAGGATTTTAATTCCTGTTTACTCACAACGCACTTACATTTAATCATACAATTTATTTACAAGGCGGGTACGTTTCAAGCTGTTAGTATTTGCTTTGGCAAATTTATACAGCAGTAAAACTGAAACCGTAATTATTTTCTCTGATTGTCTAATTTACATATGAAAAATAAAGACTGCTACGAGTGAAGCTACGTTGAGTCTAGATGTTCTTTTTATGACTAGTACTACATACACATACGTCGTTTAAGGTAAATTAGTATTTTTCTTTTAAATAGAATGATAATATAAATATTAAGAAACATCAATACGTTGCACAAAAGTTACATATATCGTGTTACTAAGAACTTGTATTGACTTCTGATGACGAAACATTCTGCTTTGCAATGGAATAAAACTTACGAAAATATTTTAAAGGAAATGAAAGGGAAATTCCATATCATTTGTTTTAAGATTTTTTCTGTAGAATTCCATTTAGGAGAAATTCACTGTTTGATTTAAATATCTTCCATCTAAAACATTTTCACATTGAATGAATCTTTATTAAGAGAAAAAAGTTAGTATTTATTAATTCTTAACAAATCTTGTTATGTGTAAAATATACATTTATTTACATTTATTTCGTTTCAATTAATTTTTTCTCCGCTTGCGATATTCTCTGCTTCCACTTATCATTCTTCCAAAGCCTTGCTTTCATCCATTCAGAACCTCGCGTTTTGCAAAAATGGAAAGCAAAATTGCTGGAAATACATTTTACTGCCCTTAAATTCGTGGGTAATTACCGTGAAATGAGTTTTCCTCAGTAATAAGAGGAATTGAGGCAACCGAAACGATTTCAATTTCTCGCATGATATATTATTTTATGCGAAATAAAATAGTAATATCTACAAGCTCTTATTTGCGTAAAATTTTTAAATTCACTATAATTCATACCTCTTTTTTAAATTCATTTCTTCTTTTCTTTATGACATAAAATTCCAATAACTTATAAAAACGTGAGACGAAAACAGATTTTCAGGAATCTTCTCGTTTAGCAAATTTTTATGGTCTTCAATATTTATATGAGCAAACTGCTAACGACTACCCATTTCTTAAAAGTCGGATCTAATTAATAAGTAAAGTGACAGCTAAAGAAATGCAGTCGTCATTAGAAGGAGCAGTGTTTAAAAATAGATTAGATTACATATATTTAAGGACCGTATTTTTTAAAGAACGGAAGGCAATGAAATATGCAAGTGATTGCGTTGCAGACGATCTATCAAACAAATCGCTTGACCTCAAATAACAGAATTGTTTCTGCATTCTACAAAAGCGCTTAGATCCGTTCGATAAGGGGTATTAAATTAAAATGCTGGTATTTGAGAGTTTTTATTTAAGTCCTTTTACAAAATGAATTAGTAAGTTAATATTTGATACCTTTATTCCAGCCTTTTAAATGTCTGCTAGCGAATGATTTTTCGAAAACAAGCAACAGAAGTGAAAGAAGAAAATATTTGAATGTGCATAAGTTACGTACCTTCCAACCACAGGGAAGTGAAATGTATTTCTCATTTTTACCTAATTGCAATCTATTTTGCGAAAACACTTAAACTCTTCCCTCAGGTGTAACTGTCAAGTTGAACATCTACCTAATTATTATCTTTGTTTTGATGTAATTTAGTAAATAACGGATGGCAACAGTTGGGGTTTTTTACATTTATGTTTTTTGAACTCGTTTCTTTTGTTAAAAAAGGAGAAAAATGGCTTTGAGCTGCTGCTTTTCATGTGTATTTGAGAATTAATGAATATTATCTCACGCCATTTTATGTTCAGAGTGTTGTTTGAGATGTCAAAGCTAAAGCTGTCACTTATTGGATTTGTAAATAAAACTGTAAAAATAAACTGTTTAGGTTGTCACAAGATGTTCTATTCAATAACTGATTACACCCATTTCCATCACTATTCTTCTGCTATAGGAAGAAGTGACCTATTTGTATAATTAACTGTTCAAAGAATCTTTTCTAATTGTGTTTTCGTTGAACGAAAAAAAAAAACAAGTTTTTTCCCAGTGCGGAAAATTTATCAGTTTCATTTTCTTAATTAATTACCTGTCAGCATCTAAACTTTAAATGTCATCAGAGTCATGTCTGAAAACTTTGTAAATAATATAACAGTTGAAACCGAGCAATTAATCACTGAAAAATTGCTACGGGGTTGTCAGTGTTCATCTACCTAGCAACTCTATAACAGTTCTAAGGGATTATTTATTTAGCGCCATAACGTAAAAGATGTACAATTACACTAAAATTTCTCTTTTCCCAAATTTTCGTTTTGCGTGACACTGGTTAAGACGGCTTCGTGTATTTAACAGCAGAGAATGCCATATGGCAAAGTGTTTAATAATAACATGAAAATTTGTGTAGGTTATGTAACGCTGTATATTTTATGTTGTTAATAAGTTATGTAATGGTGTTAAGTTGCCAAGCTATGTCCTTGTCATGTCGCTATGCTGTGCTATGTTATAAAGCTATACTATGACTACATGCTATGATATGTTCAATCGCTTTTGTCTACGCTATGCTATGCTTTTGTCTATGCTATGCTGTACAGGTCATGTTATGCTGTTTATTTATTTATTTTTTTTGTTTATAAAATTTTGTTGTTAATATATATGCCACCATGCTATGTTCATATGCAGGAATATGTTTTGTATGCCGTGTAGGTTATATGACGCTGTGTATTTTATGTTGAAAATCTGTGACGTCAATATGTTATGTCGCAATACTATGCAGGTTATGTCTATGAGATGCTATAGTATGTTGATACGCTATGTCCACCTTTCGTGTAGTTAAGTTACGTTGTGTAGTTAATTCTGTAAATATGTAATCATTATGTTATGCTATGTCATATCACGTTGCAATGCTGTGTCATGTTATGTCTACGCTACGCTATGTTAGGTTATCTTTTTAATAAATGCTTTGGTAATATACAGAAATTCGTCAATGCTTGTAATTGTGGAAAAAGGATAATTTCCTACTTCTACTTTTTTTTTAGTGACTGAATTATAGTATACTATATCACATTAGATTCAACATTTTGAAACATCGCAAGTAAAATTTATGATAAAAGTGATTCGACATTCTAGAATTTTTTTGATAATTGTGATATGCCCTATACATCCTAAGAGCTAATATCAGATAAACTTGATGTAGTGCGATATTTAGCTATAGTATTTTCTAACAATTAAAACTTTTCATAGATCCTTCTATGCCGCATAATACTACTGTGTGAATACTAAAAAGGGATGTAATCATATTTTAAAAAAAATATGAAAGGTTTCAAATTTTAAATTATGTCCAAAGGGGCGTTTTTTAACATTTTGTGTGTTATCTTTATTTTTAAAATATCATGTTCTTCGCACTTAAACCATAAAATTCAGTTCAAGAGCAATATTGTAAAATAATTTTAAATTCAGCCTATCTTTAGAATTTCCGATACACAGTTTCACGCGCTGGAGATATTTTTTTACAGCATTTCCATTGCTCGCTTTGAAATCCTTGAATATATTAATCAGAAATTCGTTAAAGCTTTATGAAATATCATATCGATAATAAAACAAATTCCAAATTTCAAATTTGGGCTTCCAGATGCTATTCGCATAGATTACTCATTCAAACTTGGATGGCTCTAGGTACCGTTTTTTATCAGAATGCGAGACACATACATACATTTATACAGAATTTTCGTTATTTATTTTCTTTAAATGTAATGCAGGACTTTAACATTTGGTGGCAGCAGTTTGAAAGTGAAACGGACATTCAGAGTGATTCGACGCAAAATCGCAAAACGAAAACAATAGTCCGTCAGGGACAAAGCCCCTTTAGACTAAACACCCGTTGCCTGACAGACCACTTGCATTTACTGTATTTGATAAATATGCCTAGCTTAGATTAAACATATATATTTGTTTTAGTAGTCATAACTGCTGTGGAAGGACAGTCTATCTCACCTCACAAATAGCACTTTCTTTGCACTTTCTTTTGAAGTTCACTTAGGTCAATACTTTTTGATGCATTATTACGTCAAAAATGTACGTCAGTCATTTTAATGTAAAACATATTATCTCCTTTCTTTCTTAGGTTTCCTTTAAAGATGCAATCTGAGACGAAATGAAAACATTTTTTATGTAAAATTTGAAGCAGAAATGTCCCTTTTAAGCCACCGTCCGTACAGTTACCTGGATAATGACGACGACAGATTTCTACATAGAAGACACAAGAAGATTCACAGGAAAAAGTTACACAGGTAAGTGTAAACTTCTAAAACTTTGTCGACAAGAGCTTAGTTTTAGTTTGAATAAAGGGAATTTATAACGATAAAAGCCGTTTATGATCCCTAGAGCATTCCTTTGTGTTATGCACGGTTTCAATCATTTCAGATCATCATATGTTTAAATAATTCTCTGTATTTCTAGTTGAAATGTATAATGCTATGCTCCTAAAAATATATATATATAATCCTAAAAATATACTCCTAAAATAAAATTTTATCGTAAATCTAATATTTAAGATTATGGCAAGAATTATAATTTTACGAAGTCTTTATTCGAACGCCTAACTCAAAATGCATTTTTATCGCAAACACAAAACATCGATCTGAGTGTGCATAGATTATGAAAACCTGCAGTAGGAAAAAACATACAGAAAATCAACATAGAACTCGTGTGCAAAATTAAGAACATTTGCACATTATATCGAATTTCGGAAAAATTATTTAATGAAATTTGGTATGAATATACATTTATAACAAAGAAAGAGATGTGCCACTCAACAATCATTTTATATATACGCATGATTATCAGTTTCATTCAGGGTGCAGAGACGTATAAAATCCACATTGTGTTATCGAACTTAAAATGTGTCTAACATGGTATATACTCCCCTCTCGCAGTCAAATAAGTCGCGCAGTTTGACGGTATACTGGACAAGAGGCAGTTGAGGAGCCCCTGTAGCAGACGACACCACTCCTGCAGCAAGGCAGTTTTTCACTCTGGGATCGTTTTCGAAAGGAGGTCCCAAGAAGCGTCCCAGTAATGTTCTGAGGGATTAAGGTTACGAGATCTGGCTGTCTTATCCATGCGACGAATATCCTCATTTTCCAAGTAATCGTCGACTAGCTGAACCGTATGTGGACGAGCGTTGTCATCCATTAACGGTAACGTAGAACCAACTGCCCATCTGAAACGTCGAAGATAGGTCTTATCTCCTCTCTGTAACTCATAGCAATCAGGATCCTTTGTCAAACACATGAAGTGGTGAGTGAACAACCAACATACTGCCTACATAAACCATCACACTTCCTCCACCGTAATGATCATTTTCTCTGATGAGGGATTGATGGTATCATTTTCCAGATTCTTTTAAGTTACAGTTACGCTGAAAATCAGTGTCCAGGATGAATCTGAACTCATCTGTAAAACGCAATGTGTTCCAATGTAGTCTGATCCAAAGCACATGTTCTCTTCAACATGCTAAATGCGCTCTCATCTATGCTGCAGTTCGCGAGACACACACAGCATTTTGTCTTCTGCCATACAGCCCTATCTCGTGATGCTTTAAGGCAGCTGTAGATCGTGGAACGCGGGTTCCAAATGCAGTATTAAGCTCATGTGAGAGCTGTGAATCTGTAGCGGTCATGTGTCGCCGCGCATAAAGTGCACATGAATTCATCATCTGTTTCCCCAAATTTCAGACGAAACTGGATATTACATTGAATTCTGAAGCTACCTGAGCTTGTGTTTTGCTTGCGTTCAATCTACACACAATTCTCCATTTCATTCTATCATCCATACGTTCGTGATTCCTCATTTTACCTGATACCTTTGAAAATTTACCCAACTTTTGGGAGAAATACGAGGCACAAATCGAAGGCGTACGAGGCGTACGAGAAGAAGTACAAGGCGTAGAAGGCGTACGAGGCACAAATCGCCGAAAATCTCTCGCATGCTTATATCCCATTCCATAGTCCCAGCTAGTCCAAACTCCGCAAGCAAGCACATCTGCGTATCTGTGCGCTTATGTGTTCACTGTGAATATTTTTATAATTCTTCGGCATCATAATTAATACATTGATTTCGGAGTTTTCATGTAAAAGAGGCTCATCTGGTTTCGATACGTTTTCGTTAAAATAGACATAATTTGCACATTACCTTAATTTTACACGCGAGTGTTTGCACGTATATGTGCATGTGTGAGTGTATCTTCATCAGCCCAACACAACACGAATGACTATGTAAATACAAATTGACGCAGATTTTTATGTAGTTTATTAAAGTTTTAAATTTAGCAAATTTGGATCACTAAACAGGTTGATGCATTATAAGGTACTCCTCCCGCCTTCTTGGCATGCCTTCGTTATTAATGTGTCTTAATATCATAAAGATATAATTTTACAATCTTAAATAACCTCTACGGTATGATGTTTAACCTTTAACAAAGTATAAAGAGCGTAAAGGAAAAATAAACACCTAAAAAAAGCATGCTTTACAAATAATACAGAAATGAAACGTCTCAATCAGCAGACCTCTACAGTCAGCAGATTCATTTGTCTATGACATCCCTCTGGTTAACACTATCTTCCATTCACCAACCGGATTTGAATGCCCGTCCAGTCTCAAATATCACATGCCTTCTTCACAACCACTCTTCTCTCTCAATGTACAACTTTCAGCTACTGCGATAACAAAGCGATAACTTTCTATGAAAATATTGCGGGAAAAAAAGCTATATTAATAAGTCAGGGAAAACGCAACATATAACCGTAAGTTATGTGTTATATAAATTTAATATTTTACATTATGAATAGAAACATTTTAATATGAATTGGAATGATTCGGTACAGAGATAAAAAGACGAATAAATATAAATTACATGTAATTAAGAAATTTGTAAACGGTGCTCCAGTGTGAACAGTTTTCATAATTTCTTCAGGTCTCCTTTATTCAACTAAATATTTTATGAGAAACTGAGTCATATTAAGCAACTGCTATTCAATGTAAAGCTGAGCGTATTTGAATGAGAAACTTTAAAACTTAAGTTTTTCAAAGCAACTGACAGCAATATTTATAATTTCATTTTCTCTTGTAGGTGTCTCTTGGGGACGGTAGTGGTCCTGAGTCTTCTGCTAACGGCTGTAGTGATAGCAGCCATACAAGTCGCACTTTTTAGTTCTCGATCCCCTCCAGATGATCAGTCATCACTAGTGCGTAGGGAATCCTCAGCTGCATTTGAAGACGCCCTGGTGGTCCGCACAAATTGTGGAGAATACATAGGAACCATAGAAGATGGAGCGTTTGTTTTCAAGGTAACTATGCAAATCATTTAATGTCTTAATTAATGAGGAAGACGGTGATGTTTTAATTATTTCAGTTTATTATTGCTTTTGTAAAGCCTAATTTCATTCATAAACTATACACATGTTTAACCTTACTCTACTAGAGTAAACTTTCTGGCTTTGTCTTTTAAAACATCAAAAGTATTAATATAATGAAACAAGAGTACAATCAAGCAAACTATTCATTGCTTGACTGCAAGAATAAATCAAATGTTCAAGTAAATAGTAAATCAAATACCTGACAGCCCGGTTCCTGAAGCATCTCTGCGCATCTCTCATCCAAGCATCTCTCATCCTGAAGCGGTTCCTGATAACATCTCTAAGTGCAAATACTAGCAAAATCCAGAAATGGCACTCACCGATGCTTGCAATGTCGCATCATAAATGGGCAGAAACACAGAATTCCCACAACTGTGTCCGTTAACTCTTTCGCTCGTTATTAGAATTCGCTTAATTATATTTCTGCGACTGGCTGAACAAAGAAAGAATATAAGAAAAATTCAATATAAAAATAACGTGTTATTTAAGGAAAACGTCATATGTTTGAGATAATGATAACACTGGTATTTTTGTATTTTTATTTGTAACATAAGTAAATGGGAGTAATCATCAGTATTTTATATAATAATAAAATTTATCTATTTTCAAACAATATATTTTATTTTATTTTATTTTATTTTATTTTATTTTTATTTATTTTTATTTTATTTTTATTTATTTTATTTATATTTTATATTTTATTTTATTGTATTTGTCCATATTTAAGCCATATTTTTATTTTTATTTGTAACATAAGTAAATAAGAGTAATCATCAGTATTTTATATTAAATAAAATTTATCCATATTTAAACCATATTTTTGAACGTTTATATTTGTCTCCTAAGTATTGATAAAATGTCATTAATTGTGAAAAGAATTTTTGTACTACTGTGCTTAAAAATCTGTGATCCAACATTTAATGCATTCTTTCCTCTGAAAGAGAAGTAGAAAGCATCAAATTTCATTCTTCATATAGATGGAAGCAATTTCAATTTTAAAGAAAAAATAGGATTAATGCACCGTAACTGGTTCTCCCCTCTTGTCGTAATAAAGCGCTTCCTGTATTTCATTAGATTACGCATAGTTTATTGAATAATTTACCAAGTATTTTCTCTTTTAAGTCGTAATGAAATTTCTAAATTTCTGTTCTTGAGAGATGATTGTAACTTACAATTAGTTGAACGGTATTTTACTCTTAAATAAAAGTTATTAAATTTTACAAGTTTCTTTAAATGCACTGCACCTGAATAAGTCAAGCAACGATGTGAAGCAATTTAATGATCGGAATTTAATAAGAAGATAATTTAACTTTCTTTAAAATGAAATTACCTATTCTGTTCCTCAAAGTAAATTTGGCTGACAAAAGTCACTGCAGTGCAATTTCAGCTGCAATGACTTCGCTGAGTAGCCTTCAGGGAAGCCACTAAAAAGCAGGTAGAAAAACCACCAACTTGGATCCTCAGCTAAATGCTAATTGCATAATTATTGCATTAAGAATAGTTTCCTGCAAAACAGAAAGACGACGTTTAGGAGCACGAAACTAGTGTGGAATATGTTCGTTATTTTGGGAATTTGAATTTCCATAACATAAAACTGGCCTTACGTAGATTAAATGCTCATAAATCTAAAAGTGTTTGCTTTTCCCAAAAAAACATTTAATACCTTTTAAAGAATTCTTCAAATTTACGACGTTCTCCCTTCATTTTTGTAACATCACTACCATATGAGCGTACTTGAGGTCACTTGGACAATATGGCTGTTGATGAGGTTTAAAAATGCGTTTAGTATGCTTAAATACACAAAAACATTTTTTTCTGCTGTAAATCTTCATTTTAGAACAGGTACATTCTAAAATGACATTTTGTCTCGCAGTTGTAATGGCTGTTCAACAAAGCACTCCTGTGGCATACTGCCCACCGAAAGTCCTGATGCAACTACTTCTTGTAGGGCTGAAGTTGTGTTCCTGTCCTTCATACGTTTATGGAGAATTTTAATCAGTACATTACAGCTGTTGCTCCGACTATTAGCAAGGAGATATATTTGGGAAGAAATGATATCTGTAATGCTATAAATGTGTCTCACGCAGAAGATTGTACCTTTTGCCATACAAACTTAAAGACATATTCTTCTAACCGTATAATTATTTAAGCAGTGTTACTAAAACTCTTATGTAAGATTTTGAACGTGTCTATTTCTTTTAGGCAAACCATGTACCTAATTTCTGTAAACGCAGAACTTTGACATAGCAAATAAACACCTTATTTTTCTTCCACTAAACCTTAAAAAATTAGTTGTAGACACTTAAACAATAAATTATTACTTTGGCTTTCCTAATGGGATGTAGCACTACATACCTCATTACAAACTTCACCATATGTTAATGATACGTCTTCGGGCATAAGCTTGTGGATGTTCTCACTTTAAACTTTATATATTGATGAAGCCGCTGATGATTGTGTTGCTACGACACACTCATCATTGGCCGCGCGAATAAAGTCACTCAACATTCGTAGTTCAATTCCAGGCGAACGGGATGCTTGAATGGAAACCCGTCTTCTTTACCTTTTGACTTCGACCTTCTACTGCACAATATCTTCGCTTTGTTCCATGCTTGAAATCCATTGGTTATTTGCCAATGCGTATGCTCATTCTATGTGCAACTCCAATCCGCTTTCTTTGCTTACAGCAGCACACCGCTTTCATAATATTATGAAAATTGCGAAGAGATATATGTAATAATTTTTCGTTTCCATGTAGATCTTTCTTTTTAAGTTTAATCAATGAGAGGAGAAAAGGGAAACTGTAAGAAACTGTAAGATCTGTAAGAAAAATTTTGGAATTACCTAGAAAGGCATGAATGTTTTTGGCATGAAAGAAAATCGACACCTCTGCTATTAATAGCTAAAACTGATTACCGATTGAAAAGCAAACTACTTAATAATTATTCCAGTCTACAATCATTTCGCACATTTTCATATACGATTGAGTGGACGACAGTTCTTCCCAAACAGGAATAAACAACAGTGCTTTCAGAAAGAATAGTCGGGAGCCAAAGGAATAATTTCTAAGCAAATGCGATCCTCTTTTCTGCACGTTTTAGCCCACCAGCATCCAAGTAGAAAATCACTCAATACTGATAGTTCGACCCGGGATTAAGACCCGCTTAATGGGCTGGTTTCAGAAGAGATTTCATGGTTTTTCCCATGCCTAATATAATGCCAGTTCAGTCTTCCATTAAGGCATCCTTTATTCCTTAGACAGATAAATCTAGGGTATTCTGTCATAACCTAATCCATTCCAGTCTAATCCTGGCATCACCAAAATTTTCAACATTAATACGTAGGCGCATTTTGTAATTATTTTCTGTTCCTCCATTACATAGTAAAATACTCTTTTTTTTTTTAAAGAATATTATGTACAACTCAACTTCAGTCTGAGTTGCATCTATTTAGTCTAAGTTACAGAATTTAAGCGACCCAGTGCACAGCAACAAAACATTCTTAACAATTTAAATAGCAGTTCAGTAAAACTATAAGCAGGAAGACCACTAGAAGTTATTTGCAAGAAATAAACGTCAAGTGAACCGCCTAACCGGGATAGTGGTTAGCGACTCTGACTGCTGTACCGAAGGGCCGGGTTCGGATCCCTGAGAAGACATGGATGCTGGTAAATGTGTAGTGTCTCTTCTGCATGGGAGTACTCTAAATATGCTGTGAGTGGAACGTCCTCTAGAGGTTGGTGGTAAGGGAAGAGGTGTGGGAGACCCTCGAATCTGTCTCCCCGGCTAACCTTTAACCTGGTTCATGAAATTTCAGGGCGAACTGAGCAAAATCCTACTATCACCTGTATGGTGCTTAAGCTCAATCTTGCGCATTTGTTGCCACGATAAATTTCGTAGACTTGTTTTGATGTTACTAACAGACAAGTGAGGTAATTCACAACAACAACAACGGATGTCAAGTGAGAAAATCTATAGATGAAATTCATGTAAATTTAATCACGTCACATTTTCTTTTCCTCAGTAATGCTTTTGCTGTTTGCATTCTTCTTGTTTTTTTTTTTTTTTTTTTTTTTTTTTTAGTCTGTGCGCGATTTGTGCTTAATGATTTTCGTTCATGGTCGTCTAATAATTCAAAACCCTTTCTTTTCATATATTCACCTCTTTTCTTCATAGAAAGCAATGAATCAGCATTGAAATGTGCCACACATATTCATTTATAAAGCAACAGAACTATTAAATTCACAGTGGACAGCATTCTGTCCACTGTGATTCTTTTAGATATTTGGAATGAATTTTTCTTCTCAATAGACCTGACGAGAAAACATTTTGATTTTAAATGACTGAACTAAAAACGTTGCACTAAAAATAGTTACAAATATAGTTAATTACACAATAAATACTTTTATTTTGTGATAACGATTTTTCCCACAGGAATCTTGTACACTTAAGCCTCGCTAATGGAAATATGGCGTCAACTCTGAAGCGTTTCTGTTTTCCTGGAGGCAGGCTGTTTTTGCCATTGGTTAAGCTGACCTTTTCCGGCACTCGACGACAATTTGGCTAATGTGCGATTACGTTTGCTACGCATCAGAGGACGAGTCTCAATAGATCGCAGTATGGTGGTTGCTTTACTTCTTACAACATCCAGACCAGTAACTAAGTCGTGTACAGACGATTTAGCGCCTGCACGTCACACCTGCACGGTATGGATTTCGAAGCGGGGACCAGGTAGTGAATATCAGCTGTCAGTTGGCAAGATCATTAAACAGAGAAGAAGTAAATTTAGAGAAACCTTTCAATCAAAATATACGTAGAATCCCAAACTATACTATAGGTGAAAACCATATCGTTATTATAGGCTTCGTATTCTTCTTCAGGGTATACTTTCAGTCGGTTAGAAATTTGATCGAATCTCGATGAAATTTCTCT